AAAAAATTTCGATCGTTAATTTTGTACAATTATCCTAGAATAATATAAAAATTGGAAAAAAACCGTTCCATGTATAAATTTCGAGAAATTGAAGGAAATATTTTGAGGACATGGGTAATAAAATTTACGTAAAATTATAGGTTAAAAGGGATAAAATTTTGTTTTAATACTGCTATTCACTAACCATCTAGTGTTATATATAATTGTTTTTTTTGGGTTTTTTTTCGATTTATTAAAAATTTAACTGAACTGTATTTTTTCAATTAAGGCATTATTTTATATGAAAATAATAGCTGGATTGTTATTTTATGAAGGAAAATATTGACTAGTAAACAGTAAATAAAACTTTGATATTTCAATCAGTAAATTCTTACTGCACATCCATATTTATATTTTATACATCAACTTTTATTTATATGTGGTTTGTTTATTATAATAATAAATTATATCTGTCTGTACACCGTATCGAAAAAAATATGTATATCCATTATAAATTGCCTACTTGACTCCGTGTACATGGTTAAAAAAATTATTATTTACAATTTGAGATGAAGCGGATTAAAAATAAATGAATTAGTAAAATAATTTCTTTTCTAATTTCCAAATTTGGCATCTATAAAACACTCACACACACGCACGCACGCGTATTTTGTCTTTTTACTTGAAACATAAATATATACAATTCGTTTGATTTTTTTGGTGAAATTACATGATTCATACATAAGTACTACAGTGAACCGATATTCGACATTTATTGATCATTCACACAAAGTTAAAGTTTCCTCAAGCATTCGTCATCAAATCAGTCTACAAATTTACGTTTACCTAAACAGCTACTAGGTTCTTAATAAGTCTTATTTGAATTTCCATAGCCATGCTTTTCGACATGATCGATCCAATTAATTAATTTAGTCTCGTTAAGTTTGTGCTAGTTTGGAGGCTTTTGCGAAGCCTGGACGTGGTTGTCGTCCCTTCTCACCACAACCTGGGAAAAAGACAAAAATAACAAAAAAACAATCAAAAATTTTACAATTTTTTCATGTACAGTAGAACTCCAATTATCCAAACTCCGACCATCCGAATCGCCGATTATCCGAATCACTTTCAGAAAAAAAATTGTTCAAAAAAAGTCTGAGTGCGCTATTATTCTTCCACCAGCAAAGCCAGTGTAGGCACATTGTTTGTTTTGATTTGACGGAGATGTTTACAAAACAATGATTTTTATTTCTAAACTTGTACATGAGTACATTTTATTTATATTTAAAACATGTGAAAATGTCATGTTTCTTTCATTTAATTCAATAAAAAAATAGTGCAATATCAAAACGTAACTTTTTTTCTCTCCAATGGCAATTTTTTAAAAAAAACTCCGAATATTTGATTATCCGAAACGGTCCCGGTCCCCATTAATTCGGATAATTGGAGTTCTACTGTAACTGAAATTACATGTGATGTTTGGTGGGGGAGGAAAAAAATATTAATATCTTATATATAAAAATGGAGCTCTCGATCGAATGATTCGGTAAAACTCGAAAACGGCTAAACCGATTTGGCCAGTCTTAGTCTTGAAAAATTCGTGCTAATCAGTAGGTTGTCGGAAAGGTGAGATATTATTTCAAAATCGCGTAGAAACTTCACATTTTTAATTTGAACATATTTGTAGAAGCGTAATTTAAATAAAACAATGGACGGCGGCTCATACGTCAAATGTCAAAAGTTTTTGATAGATGATGTTCAATTACGTTTAATAGGATGTTTTACGTGAATATTATTTAATTATGATTAAATTGTTTTAAGTAGTTTTTTTTCGTAGTTATATTTATATACAAAAACGTTAGTAAACGGGCTGCAAGTGTTACTAGAAACTCAAAATATCAACTTTTTTTAATGTTAATATGAAAAAATGCACTTTTTGGCATATTTTTCTCAAACACGGTGCTCTGAAAGATCTCATTTGTATAATTATATACTCATTTTAATTTATATGTTTTTCATTTATGTTATTTAAATTCAGAACCTAAATTTGGTATTAATCAAAGAGACGTTTTGTCAAATAACATTTTCCCAGTTAAAATTTCCCAGAATTTATCGAAGAATAGATAGTAATATATGAAGGTCCAGGGTTAAAAAGGTCCACTAGCGATGTGTCAAAAAGCTTTGCTTAACAATAATATTTGAAAGTAGAGGGAAAAAGATATAACCTTGATTCTTATGACAACTGGATGCTGAGTTAGATGCATATGTGAAAGAAATAAAGTAAATTGAGTGCATAACTGACTGTACATAGATAATATACATTTAAAATAATCTTATGGCATTTGATTGTGTTGACATTAAAGAACATATATTGAAATTTAGCTTAATATTTACATTCATTTTGACTTACTGCATATATTATCTTAAATGTGCAGTATATTATAAGCATTTTTATATATTTAAATAATTGAGTCAAAGCTTAATTTATTAGAGTAAGTTTTCATTACTATCCTTAATTTTTAATGTGTGGATGTTCCTTGTTTTGGTTTAAGTGTCAAAATTAGCAAACAAAACAAATGTAAAATATATAATTTAAGTGCAATGTGCATGATATTAATGAGATTCATAAGATTTAGCACATAAAAAAATTGTTAAAAAATAATTAATAAATAAAATATAGTTCTTAATTTGTATTTACGTGTGATCATAATATAATATTGAAAATTGAGAAATATTGAAAATTTGCTATCGGGAGATAAACGATAAGCTTTGAAAATCCATAACAAAAGTATTTCCTTTTGTTGTTAGTTTTTTGGGTTGTGAGCTCTGTGATTTAGTTCAAGAGATCTTAAGGGGCACAACTAGTGTGAAATTTCCACAAAATCGATTTTTGTTTTTTTTCATATTTCGGTAGATTACACCTTTAAAAATAATAGATAAAAATTTCAAATCGATATCTTAAATAGTTTTTGAGTTACAGCTATTTAAAAAGTATATATATATCGTATATAATATAACGATCATTTTATCTTTAAACGCGTTTTTCTCGAAACAGCATTTTCCGAATTTGCTGCAGTGATTACTCAAAAACTAATGATCCGATCACTATCAATTTTTTTCACATGTTCTATATATAGTTCTCCGTAAAATGAACTATCGATTTTTTGATCTGATCAAAAATCGAATTTTGGCAGTCGAAAAACGGCCAAAATTTTGGGTAAAATTCGACTTTTTTTTTAAAACGCCGCCATTTTGTCAATTTTTGATTTATTTTTTTCATCGTAGTTCATTTTACAGATAATATTATCTAGTTTAACGAGATTTTTTTTTTTTTGATTTCATCCACATAGAAGGCCGGAATCACTGCAGCAGTGAAGAGCCTTTTTTTGTCGCGTCGTTGGAGATCGACGATAACTTAAAAAATATTTAATTTTTTTCTTCAAAAATTTTACTATGTATTCTTAAAACATGTATAAATATATTCCTAAAATTTTGAAATGATTGATAAAGTAGTTTTTTTAATATAAATTCCCCAGAATCACCTTTTTTTAGGCGGTTACACTAGTTGTGCCCCTTAATATAAATTTTAACTATACGCTATTTAATTGTTTTATAAAATGTAATGTTAATTTTGAGTGAGATTTAACAGTTTTCTTTATATAACCACTTTAAAAACTCACATCTTTGTGGGGCAAAAATGAACAACTACTGAACATTAACCATGACTAAAGACTAAAAAAGACTTGGATTGAATTATACCATATTTTTATAGAAAGTGTATAAAACTTCCAGTTGGATAGTATTAACAAAATATGGACAAACGAATATTGTTTTTATAAATTATATAACTCATTATTATACAAGTAGACTTTGGGGTTTATTGTGTTTATAATACTTCATTGTATATAGCATTCAAACAACATATCCTTATACACTTGAAGTATTCTTTTTTTTGATTCTTTAGAAATTGTTTAGAAAATACCTTACTTATCAAAACAAAGTTTGCCGGGTCAGCTAGTATAATATATAATCTAGTATTAATATATAATTTTAAATACTTACTTGGTGCTGTTGTGATGTGACAACGGAATACGGCTGGTAATTTGTCCGGACTTGATCCCTCGATGTTGTCCTTATATTACCATGCTGCTGTATGTTCGCCGAATTTTGCTGGTACTGATTTGCAGGTGAATGTCTAAGAATGAATAAAATTGGTAAGTTAAAACTGTAATAAATAAAATTTTACTGTGTGAATTTTATAATTCCCACCTGACTTGTGTCTGCTGTTGTGTCCTATAAATATCTTGTGACACTATTCCATTTTCCATGGGCCTCATTGCTCTCGTTGCTGAAGCTGCAGATTCGCACACAGAAGTCGCTATTAGATAATAATTAATAACAAGGTTTAATAAATAAACGCAAATATAAAAAGATAATAAAGTTCAAATGTGGGGTTCAAACTAGTGGGGCGCATGGCATCGTGCCTTAAGGCAAATTGCTGGAACTTCCCGTACCAAAAATTATTATTTTTTAACAAAATTAACATTTTTGAAAAAAATTTACTTCGAAAAAATTAGATTTTTGACAAAAATTTACTTTTCTTGAAAAAAAAAAAACTTTTTGAAGAAAAATTTATTTTGAAATATTTTGAAAATTCTGAACTTTTTTTCAAAGCAATCGCACTGCTTTAACTGCATAGAGACGAAATATCGAAGCGCGTAAGCGCCGCGTCGCCGTCTAACGGATAAACATTAGTACGGAACCCATAGAAATGTAAACAAAATTTATACTTATTCTTAAAATCTCGATAAAAATCTGATAATTTGATGTGCATATGTCTAATGATCATTTTTGACCGCCAGAAGGCTTTTTCTTACTTTTTTTACTAGTTCTCCGAAACCGTTAGACCTGCCTTCATGAAAATTTCATAAATTCTTCATCTTGTTATACAAATAAAATGCTTTTTGAATTATTAAAATCAAACGCTCCGATCTCTTAAAAACTGATTTACCGTTTTCGGCACTTTTTGCCCCGTATCTTCGGAACGGCCAACCCTGCCTTTGCCAAAAACTAATCAGCACGTCTCCTTATCAATACGAATCGAATGTTTTTTGAATTATTCAAATCGCTTCATCCGTGTTCCCGAAATCATCGACGAAAATTTGTATCCGAACACACACACACACACACACACACACACATACACCCATTTTTTCTAAGGTATGCCAAAATGTTCAGAAACCTTTGAAACGTAAAGATATATAAAAATTTTCATTTTCGATTTTTTTGCGATTACTATAACTTGCCCTACAGGAAGTTGAATAAATAAAATTCAAATCTTTGTTGAAACATAAAGAATTTTATTTTGGAACAATTAAAAGCATAATTATCAATTATTTTAGGTGATAAAAAACATGAATAAAAATTCACAAATGATTTATTTCTACCTTAGACAAAGAGTGAATTTCCTTTTGTAATAAAATCAAAGAAACACTGGAAACTATATTAATATTTAATATATTGCATTTTAATTTTTTTTTTTAAATATAAAAATAATGTTATAGTTAACAATATTTAACTAACCTGGTTGTCCTGCAGGTTGATTCAAAGGTATCGCCAATCTGGCATTAACTGCTAATAAATGATCTCGCCTTGTTACTAAATTGTTAACATGATCTTCCAATCGAACATTTTCTGTCCTCAGTTGATGTAGACAAGATAGTAATGAAGCAACTGTAATAAATAGTAATAATAATATTATTGATATATCTTCTTATATATAAAAATGAATCGCAAAATGTGTTGGTAAGCGCATAACTCAACAACGCCTGAACCAATTTAGCCAATTTTTTTTTTTAAATATTTGTTGAAGTCCAAGGATGGTTCTTACGGCAAGAAAAAATCGAATAATTGCCGGGAAACCGCTATAACAAGCCCTTTTCTTTTTCACATACAAACGTTTTCTAACTAAAATCAATAGTAGAATGCATTTGAGCTTTATTACTATTATATAAAATTCATATTAAATTATAAGCACTCACTGTATACTCCTCCTAAACGATTATGCGGGTTTTGATAAATCTTTCTGAAGTTTGTTAAGGAAATTTCCTAGGATGTTTGTTATTATAAAAGTACTGGGATGTATGTGCAATATTGTAGAAATAAATGAAAAAAATTGCAAAAAATGACATGTCATTTTTTGCATTGAAAACAAATGAAAACCATCATCTGCCAAAAATTTCTATTTACCTACTTATGAACCTAGATAATATTAGAATATGTATAGTAAATTTATGATTATATATAAGAAAAATGAAATGTCTACATTATTATTGCCAAAAAGCAGCTGAGATGTGTCAGAAATTAAAATAATATAAGATACAGTATATGTATGGCAGATTGAATGATACACATATGAACAGGATATGACAAATTAATTCACTTAAAATATGAAATTAAGTATTAATCAGCGCCGATCTTAGTTTTAATGCGATGCATGCGAAAAATACGAGCGCACGCTTTAGGGGGCGCCAACACAAGATTTGGATATTAAATTTTCAATATAGTTTTTTTTTCAATATATGATTTCTTCGCATCTTTTACTAATCTTTCCACAATATTTTTAAAATTCATAAAAAATTTACTTTATAACAACAAATGGGAAAGTAAAGATGAATACATACAATTCGGCCCTCACGATATCGATTAGTAGAAGTTTAAGATGCAATTTTGGATATCTTAAATAATTAAAAAAATAATTTAATTTAATCTGACATGAAGTACCAGTGTTATGTTATGGTTATGGTTATGTTATATCGTTTAAAAGACTTCAATTTCCAATATAGTGTGGGAATTGAGACTCATCATTTTATTTAAAGCAGTTGTACATTTAACATCGCTCATATTGTAAAATGTGTATGCATTTGTGTGTGAAGAGTAATTAAAAAAACAATAATTATCATTATTATTGTAGACATGAGTACAGAACAACGTCTGTCGGGTCATCTAGTATATATATATATATATATATATATATATATATATATATATATATATAGTTATTATCATAAATAATATTATTACTATCAAAGTGTTGAGCTTGTTCCATCAAAAATTGTGACCCCTGCTCCCACTGCCGTTCCAATAGCTGATCTAAACTTTGTGGAACAACAGCCGATGTATTCCCAGTCCCCGTAACACCTGACATCAAGTTTCCGACAGGATTATTACCAGCCATGTTTGTGTTTCCAGATCTTGTCTAAATATTATGTTAAATAAATCTTTTAGCATGTGTTTAAAAAATAGTTTCAAATGTGTTTCATTTATTCAAATTACCGTATGTCTCAGTAAAGGTGGTCCTACAAGATTACTACTTGTATTTGTGTCTGGATCGCTTGTAAAAACACTATGAGCTTCTAGTTCGTGATTTAAATGATCTGACATTTTCTGTGCCATGTTACTGTTTGGATTCAGCTGGTTGCCCAACATGTGTGGGGCGTGCACTCCATTTTGAAATCTAAATAAAGAACAAATTTAATATAACTGATATTAATAAATAATAAAAGTTGGTTATGTTGAGGGCTCTTACAATTTTATGTCTGGTTTAGTATCAGGCGGTGGGCTTGTACTCTGCGCCAAAGGTTTCCTTCCTTTCCTCTTCGGCTGGTCGTCGGGGTTTGGACTCGAGCTCGGTGACTCCTTAGGCGTGAGTCCCATCACAATGTTGTTCTGTTGCAGAACGTGTCCCGTTTGCACATTTGGACTGGCCACCACCACCGGCGGAGGCGGCGTCGGATGCGTTGATCTCGATGACCTTTTATTCACATTTGTATTTACAGAATTATCGTTGTTAATGTTCTCCTTCGCTTTTACTAAATCATTACTCAACTCGGTTATGATGATGGATGATTGTGTAGTTGATGTTGATGTTGATGATGTAGGAGATGATGTCGGAATTGAATTTACATTGTCTCCGCTATTGTTAGTCGTGGGCAAAGTGTTTGTCGATGTCGCATTCTGTTTGTTCACTTTACTATTACTGGCTCGTTTTTTATTTCGCTGGGGAGGTTTAGTTGGGGAGTCCGCAGCGTTACTTTTGGCGCTACTCTGAGATCTGATTTACGGGAACGTTAGTGGATAATATCAAGTGCTACAATTCCAGGCATTGCTACACATCGAAAGTACTAAGAGGATTGGCACGAGCACAACATCGAACAGAAGAAAAACGTACTAAACTATTAGTCACTAAAACACAAACTACTCGAACAGGACGCTAAAGTTTTGTACAACTGTTTAATGAGAGCGGATAATGTGGAAGGGATTAAATTAAACGAAATAAAAGCAATAAAGCGAGATGTTGTAGCGGGTACGCTTCGGATTTACATTTTAGGTTATGTTTACATGTCAAATGATGTAGGGACGACGATGGCCGCTCATGGCGCCGCTTTGGTCGAGACACTTCCGCGCGCGAAATTCAAATCAAAACGAATACTACGAAGGACATAGGATAACGAGAAAACGATAAACGATGTAATAAAAACATTTGTAGAATTTAATTGAAACTAGTGGGGCGCATGGCATCGTGCTTTAAGGCAAATTGCTGGAACTTCCCGTACAAAGAATTATTATTTTTTTAAAAACGATTAACATTTTTGAAAAAACTTTACAAAACTTTAAAAATGTTTTTTGAATTATTAAACTCGGGCGCTCCGTTCTCTTAAAAACTGAGTTACCGTTTTGTCCCGTATCTCCGAAACGGCTTCGCCAAAAACTAATCAGCACGTCTCCTTATCAATACGAATCGAATGTTTTTTGAATTATTCAAATCGGTTGATCCGTGTTCCCGAAATCGCCGACGAAAATTTGTATCCGAACACACACACATCCATTTTTTCTAAGGTATGCCAAAATATTCAGAAACCTTTGAAACGTAAAGATATATAAAAAATTTCATTTTCGATTTTTTTGCGATTACTATAACTTGCCATACGGGAAGTTAATTAAATTGTATATGAATTTATTATGCATCGTTTATTTAGGCTCACTTTAGCTACATACAAATTTTGTATTTTATATCCTACACTAACTACATGCAAATATGTTGTATTTCAATTCAAAGATATTTATTTAAAAACTAACAAGTTATCATGACTTAAGAGTTACAAACACGACAAGAAAAATTACTAGCGTAATGATACTGAAAACGAAAATTAAATTTAGGAATCCCAAGGTTTGCGACTTTCAAAATAAATGATAAACAATAATATATAAAACAAACTGCAACGATGGATAATAAATGACTGATGAATTAATGATAAAAAAAACTGTAATGATGGATAATAAATGAGAATTTAATTTAAGTTGTAATTATTTTGTCCACACATTTAATGAAAAACGGATGAAGGATGAATGTTTAAATATGCATACCTAAATATATCATGATAAATAAATTCTGCTATATATTTGTGGCCATGAATTATCTTTCAATACAACCCGAAACTATAATAATAATAACAATAATAATAATAAGTTGAGATTCCATTTTAGCAGAATTTATTTAAAAGCTTATATATAATAAAAATATTTTTCAACATCAAATAAATAATTTCTGATATTTAAGTAAAAAGATCAAACTATTTATTATCTTTATAAATTGTAGTTTGAAAACAAAAATACAAAAAAAAAAAACATTCTAAATTGAATTTTACCACCTTTTAATAAAAACAATTGATCTTTGTCTGAAATATTTGTGTATATATTCATAATTATTAACATGGAGAATTAATCATCGACTGTCAATTACTAATGAAAAAATTCTATTCCCATGCAAAAAATATTTACATTAAAGGCCTAAAACAATTCTCATTCAATGAAACCCAGCTAATAGGTAGAAAATGTTTCTATAAAATCACATCAACACGACAACTATTTTCATATGGAATCTACAAAAAAAAATATTGAATAAAAAAAAATAACATACCTGGATCTTTTTGCATCTTCGGTTTTAATTTGTTTCTCAAAGCCAATTTTTAGACCTCCGCCGCCACCACCTCCTTCATTTCGATGAAGGTTTTCTTCTGAATCGACATCTGGAATGTAACAAAAACTGAATCCTTTTTGGTAAAAGATATATAATATAATATTAATATTATATTAGGTTGTCAAATATCTCCCTTCCGCTTTTTTGCTCTTGGTTTATAATACAAAAAGGCGGAAGGGAGATATTTGACAACCTTATATATATATATATATATATATATATATTCAATAGATAAGTCCTGGATTTTTTCAATATATTGATTGTTTCTTTTCCAAACAGTAAATCCAATAATAAAAAACAATTTGTTTTTTGAAGATGTTTAATAACGACGTTTCGGAACTAGATACGTTCCATCATCAGCACAAGTTTCCAAAGCACTCTTTGCCAATCAATGGAATGTCCAACATTCCATTGAAAATTCACATATTTTTACCTTTGAACCCAATATTTTATATAGAGAGAATTGTACTTTTAAAAGACTTTTCTGAAAGCAGTTTAATCTTTTTGGATTCTTCAAATTGTGTTAATAAAAGATCAGATCATAACATCATTCATGATTCGTATCTAAATTTTTTAAACCTAATTAAAAACGATTAATCCTTTAATAATTGTGTGTGTATATATACATGTGTATATGTAGTAATATATGCACATCCATATATGTGCTTATATGTATGTTTTTGTATATACACTATATACATGTACTAGCGTGTATGTTCGTGTATATAATTGTATGTACATGAATATATGGATATATGCATATGCATGTATGTGTATGTAGGTGTGCATATGTATGTGCATGTTTATATACATAATAATATTTCTCAACATTTGCTGAAGCAATACATTCCCATTTTTTGTAAATTACCAATTCAAGAGCTATAAAAAATTATTTTTGCCTAAATTTCGTACATATCCCTTTCATCTGGCCGACAGAACTCCATAACAGTGTGTTACAAAGTCTTGTGAAGCCAAAAACATTTACAAATATCCTCAGAAAAAATCGAGCGTTTTTAACAAAAAATATTAGTGATATGGATATATAAATTATTACAGGTAAATAATTTTTGCTTCTCAATTTTATATAAAACCTTTTTTAGTTAATTTTTATTACTCTTTACACTGGTACATAATCCATTCCTTTATAATTTTTTCTAATTAATCTGTAATGACCATCATTAATTAATGTTAATCAATAGTTTTAAAAAACATTGTATTTGACAGAATAAATCTGATGATGGAACGTATCTAGTTCCAAAACGTCGTTATTAAACATCTTGAAAAAAACAAATTGTTTTTTATTATTGGATTTACTGTTGGGAAAAGAAACAATCAATATGTTTAATATATATATATATATATATATATATATATATATATATATATATATATATATATATATATACATATATATATATGTTAAAGAAGTTAGTTTTGATGTGTGAGAAATATAAGCAAGTTCTTCAAGGGCAATACATCAAATAAAAGGCAAAGATTTAGAAGTTAATCTTTAATTTTTTCCAAACGTTTCGACATAGGATTTTATGTCATCATCAGTGGATATAAACATAGTCTGTCAAGACATGTGGCATTATCGCCTCGGAAATGTACGCATAAACTACTTTCTCCGTGCAAAATATATTATATTTCACAAATATTTTGCTATGCTCTGTTCAACAAAAACAAAAAACAAGTTAGTGTATATATGATAGTGCAAAATTATGTGCCATGCGCTAGTTACTGATATAAGACCATATTTATATCCACTGATGATGACATAAAATCCTATGTCGAAACGTTTGGAAAAAATTAAAGATTAACTTCTAAATCTTTGCCTTTTTTGATGTATTGCCCTTGAAGAACTTACTCATATATATATATATAGATATATACCTAAGTCTGTTTTTAAACGGTCTTTTTGCACACGGTTTTGATATAATACGGTTTGAAAATTGAATGTTTTTAATTTTTTTACACGATTTTATTCCATTTAGCACGATTTGAAATTTTATGTACCTAAATTTTTTTGTCAAATTTAATTTTCTGCGATGTATGTTCATATCACAAAAATGTATTTATTAAAGAAAAAAGTCTGAAACCATCGATAGTATCGATAGTTTGCGAACACTAGATTAAAGATTTAAGTGAATTCCCCTTTAGCGCGTACAAACAATTTTTACTGGTCAAAGCAAATGTGGATAGCACTAATTTAGGGAAACCTTAAAAATTGAATAACCTATTCTTTTCGTTCACAACATAGTTTTTTAGTTCCTGAACTTGTCATACATTTAATTTATATTACTTTTAAGATTAGAGTGCATATCTTTTTTATCATTAATTACTATGCTTGTGAAAATAAGCATTATATATTTGATTTAATAAAATAAACATGAATTCTTGTTCTTAAAAATCCTTGTTTTTCACTAATTTTAATAGGCTTTAGAGATTAGGAACAATTCGCCCATTTTTGTATAAAATCAAAATGTCTTTTTTACACGTTTTTTTTTTTACACGGCTTCTTCTGGAACCAATCTACCGTGTAAAAACAGACTTAGGTGTATATATCTGTTACAATTATATTCTATCCCTTGCCTATCGACTGCTGCGAAGCCAACGTGGCAACAGCTCCGATCTGGTGTCCTTGCGCCAGCACAGTCTGCATAGTGTTAGGACTATTCGACGCCCTCGGTTCCATTCCGGCAGGATTCATAGGACTGCTCCTATCCAGAAACGCATTCGCCGGACTCAACCTGTTCATCTCTCCTTGCTGTTCTCTGGATATGTGCTGATACAGATTGGTGGTCATCTGGCTCATCGCCGGGCTGGCGGTGGCCAAAGGGACTGATACAACGATACTTGTGGGCTGCGAGACTGGTGGAGGAGGTGTGGGACTTATGACTTCTGTTTTTGGGACTGCTGGAGCTAGCATTGTGTTTATTTTCAGTTGGTTGTATGCGGCACCGTCTTGGGCTAGGGGAGGAGATGGGCTGTGTTCTGTTTTTATCTGAAAAATAATAGATAGATAGATAGATGGTATCAACTAGGGTTTGTCGGTTTTCAAAAACCGGTTTTTAAACCGTTTTTTTGTTGAAAATTATGGGATTCGAAAAGCGGTTTTTTAGTAAAAAAAAGTCGGTTTTTACTGTATAAATGGAAAATGACGAATATAGCCAAATATAAAAGATAGATAAAAGCGTTTTGAATTTGGAAATCATATCGGTTTAATAGCATTTGATATCTTATCAGTCTGCAATGGTTCCCAGAAAGGTTTTGTATATATTAATTTAGATTTTTATACCAGAGTATATTTTAACTTAAATCAGTGTGACTTCTTCTTGAAGAAGTAACTTCCTCTACTCAAACTTAAAAAAAAAGAGTTTTAAGCCCTAGAAGCCACAATTAAAATAACAAAAAGCTTATAATTATTATATCAGGCTTTAATAACAATTAAGCCTAGTTCGGTCGCAAGTATGAGAGTATTTTCTATTTCAGTAGCAATTCGATAGAAGTTCTCAGTTTTTTGAAATCATATTTTATTAAACAATAAAAACAACTAAAATGTTTAAAATTAATTAATTAAAATTGCTCGGAACAGGCCATACCCGAGTTTAGCTTAATTGTTTTTAAAACTAAAATTGATTGATTGAAAGTATGTATCTATTTTTTTAATTTTATTTAAAAATGTAGTATTTTTATTTATTCGAAAACTTTCCTTTCACTATCATAAAAATATTTTCATTCTTATATGTAAAAATGATGCATGAATAACGAATAATTATTTTCAAAATTATTTAATCAAGATAAACTATTATTTTTTAGTTCTACTAATTAAAATTAAAATAATTTTGTTTACTACCCATAAAATTGAGCAATAAATAAATTCAGTCAAATACTATTCTAAATTCCACTAAATTTGCGGACAAATTACAGAATATTCGAGCAAAAATTTATTTTCTATATAAAATTCGAAAACCGGCTAAAACCGTTTTTTTAGCAAAATTAAAATTCGAAAACCGGTTTTCTGAAATGTCGGTATTTATATAAACCCTAGTATCAACCAAATTCTGACATAGAAATGACTGGTGTACGTGGCATTTTGCCTTAAAACAAATTAAACTAGTGGTGCATGCCATCCTGCCTTAAGACAAATTGCTGAAACTTCCCGTACCGAAAACTAAATTTTGAAAAAAAAAACTTTGCAAAACTTTGAGAAATTTGAAATTTGAGATTTTTGAGAAATTTTGAAATTTTTGAACAAATTTAACTATTTTGAAAAATTTGATTTTTTTAACTTCCCGAAGAAGAAGTTTATGTTTTCATCAAAAAATCCGTAATGCTAATTTTATGTTTTCTCGACGTTTCAAGCCATTCTGAATCGAATGAGACCAAATTTGGAAAAAGTATTGTGTGTGTGTGTGTGAACAGATTTTTTGCCGTAAATCGACGTTTTCTCAAAAACGGCTGGACCGATTTCAAAAATTTAAAAGCCATTCTATGTATCTCGATGAGGACTAGCGTTTCTAACTTTTGTACGACGATCGGGCGAGCCGTTTCTTTGTAAATCGCAGAAAAGTAAAAAAAATTTCGGCCACGTTTTAGTCCGCAATTCTGAATCGATTATGAAAATTCAAAAACCGTCTGAAAGATATTGGTTGGGAATCGTGCTGATTAGTTTTTGGTAAAGATCGGCCGGGCCGTTTTCTTGTAATAAAGTTTACAAAAAAAAATCGACGATTTTCATTATTATTTTTTTGACGGTAGATACCATAGTCTTATAGAGCATACTAGAATATTACAGTCCTACGACAAGTCGTTTAATTTTTAAAAATCATCAAAGTTTGCAAAAATTAGTGTCGTTTTTTTGGCGTTTGTCAAAATTATAATTTTCATCGACTTTTGCTCAAAAACGCCTGAACCGATTTCAAAAATTTAAAAGCCAATCGATGTATTTTGATGTGGATTATTTTTTCTCAGTTTTGTACAGCGAACGGCCAAGCCATTTCTTTGTAATTTGAAAAAAAGTGTTAAACTTTTCGTCCACATTTAACCTCAAACTACCGAACCAATTTTAAAAAATCAAAAACTGTTCGCAAGATATTAATTGGGAATGATACTGATTAGTTTTAGGTGAAAATCTACCGAGCCGTTTTCTTGTAATTAACTGTTGAAAAAGAATTTAGGCCGATTTTTATGGAACTTTTTTTTGACGATATATACTATGGTCTTATAGAACTTACTGAATTATTACGGCCTTAGGACAAGTAGTGTAATTTTAAAAATTCATCAAAGTTTGAGAAAAAGAGTAGTTTTTTTGACGTTTGTTAAAATTAAAATTAGACGATTTAATTGGTATAATGATAGAGTACCTGGTTTTATTAAACATACTAAACCATTAAAGTCCTACACAAACTGGTATAATTATAAAAATTTGTGATTTTTGAAAATTTGCTTTAAGAAAATACTCCGAGTTGACGTGTTCGTTCGTTTTCAATGATGTGTAATAAATCCACTTGGAATACTTTTAATCACTCATAAATTAATTTATATTTTATTGAATAAGTCGATTATTTACACATATCGGGAAGTTCATGTAACTTGCCTCAAAGCAAAATGCCGATACCAACTAGTTTCTTACCTTTTTGTGAGGATCGTCCCTAGTATCCATCGGCGTAACAATAACATTACAACTGGTCGGCACAACACTGTCACCAGCCTGATTATCAGGCACGGGCGTCGAAGTCCTCGAGTCAGCTTTCCGTTTCTTCAATTGACCCTGATTCACCTTAACATCTTGCTCAGAGTTGACCACAATATTGCCTTCTGAAAAGGTCCCCTGAGTGGTCTGGAGGACTTTCTGTTCCTTCTTCGGAGCCATTTTATCGCCGCTCGGTTTATCTAAGATGTTCGGCGTTTTGCGATCAGCTTCGGGAGTATCCTTCGAGGATTTACTCGATGTGATATTTGTGGACGATGATGAACTCGAGCTCGAGGAACTTGTTGAGATCTTTGAGGATTTGCTGTTTTTATCCTTGTCTGAGACTTTTGATGGATTTGTTGCTGAAATGATAAAAAACACAAGAATAAAGAAAATATACAAAAAATTAAATAATAATTTAGGGCCGAACGCTCCAAGTATTTTTTAACGATACTATTTTAAAGCACAGGGCAAAAGGGCTGCAACCAGCCACGGTCTTATATGGGGCGACCTCACTAATATAAGATTAACTAATAATGATTCACGACCACATTGTCAATTTTCTAACAAAAGTATTTTTGTTTTTTATTTGTTTTGAGAACTGTTGTTTAGTTTTCGGTACCTTAATCAAATATAAGTATATATTATTTAAATATGTTATAAGATGTATTGTTATTTTTAAGTTAGATTCAACAGATTTTTTATTTACACCTTTGCAATTTACACCGGCATTTCCAAGTTTTCATAATGTTTCTAAAATACCAAAAAAATATCAGTTATATCAAAAAAACTTCAAACTTTTAGAAAAATTTGATAATATTTAAAACCGTCATTTTTTAAAAAATTGTCAATATTAAAATTTTACAAATGTTTTCAAAACTTTCAACAGGATTCAAAATGTTCACGATAAGTAAATAGTAAATAAAAAAGGAAAATATATTTAAAAAAAGAGATTTTTACAGAACTTTTTTCTCTTAGTGTAGTTTGCTCGTCAGTAGAGTTTATTTCCCTCTTCTATCAATTTGCTCGTGAGTAGAGCTTTTTATATTTTTTTTTTAGTCAAGAAATCAATAAAATTTATTTCTTTAGTTTGCTCGTCAGTAGAGTCCCTACTTATCTTTTTTGTTCTTCTATTAGTTTACTTATTAGTAAACTAGTTTCTTCGTCCTATTTTTGTATAGTCAGGAGGTAGTGCTCATTTTTTTTAGTTTGCTCGTCAGTAGAGTCCCTTTTTATTTTTTTCAGTGTCAGTCAGTAAAGCTCCTTTTTTCTATTATTGTTTTACTCAGAAGATAGTGTTTATTTTTTTTTAGTTCGCTCGTCAGTAGAGTCAGAGTTTTCACTAGTTGAGTAGCGTTCATTTTTTTTAGTTTTCTCGTCAGTAGAATCCCTTTTTGTTTTGTTTCTGTTCCACCGCCAAAAGACTTTTTACTCTGCCATTAAGTCAGTAGAGTTCAATTTCCTATTCTTGTTTTTTCAGGAGGTAGAGTTCATTTTTTTTAGTTGGCTCTTCAGTAGAATCCCTTCTTTCTTGATTCAGTTTCATCGTCAGTAGAGTTTGTTTCACCTTCTATCAGTTTGCACGTCAGTAGAGTTCCTTTTTTCTATTCCTTTTTTTAGCCCAGAGTTAATTTTTTAGTTTGCTCGTCAGTAGAGTCCATTAGGTATTTTCTTTTTCAGTTTGCTCTTCAATTAAGTTCCTGTTTCCTATTTTCTTTATAGTCAGGAAGTAGAGTTAATTTTTTTAGTTTCCTCGCCAGTAGAGTTCCTTTGTACGTTGTTTCAGTTTCACCAGTAGAGTCTATTTTCTTCTTAGTTAACTCGTCAGTAGAGTTTCTTTTCATATTCTGTTTTTCATCAGTAGAATGTTGTCTTATCTTATATCATTAGTAGTATCCCTATGGCAAATATATTTTACAATTGATTGGCAGTAAAGTTCCTTTCCCCTGGACATGAGTCAGTAGAGTTCATTTTCTAGTTTGCTCGTCAGTAGAGTCCCTTCTTATCTTATTTCAGTATCATCATTGGTGGAGCTTTTTTAATAAATATGGTCAGTTGTCATTCAAATAATATTTTACTGTTGGCTGGTCACTAGATCCATTTTTTTATTTAGTTTACTCGTCAGTAGAATTCTTTTTCTATCTTATTTTAGTGACTTCCACTATTAATAGAGAAATGTTATGATAGTAGTAAGAGTTCATTATATTAGGTTGTCAAATATCTCCCTTCCGCTTTTTTGCTCTTGGTTTATAATACAAAAAGGCGGAAGGGAGATATTTGACAACCTAATATTTACATTTATAAGTTTTAATCTATTATTGCGAAAAACCGCTTAAAAATGAAAAATATAATAATAGATGTTTTTGCCTTCTGGCTATCTTTTTTACCCCGCCTATGAAGTAAAAAGGACCGAGTGACAAAATTTTGAAATACAGCAAAGAAAACACAGTTCTACAATGATGAAAATTTGCTGGGAGTATTACTGAACATAGTCAGACAGGTGTTTGTTTGATTTGTATTGTTTGTGTGGTATAATTGGTTTGGTTTTCACAATACAATTGTTCAAAGCCACATTGGACCTTTATGCCCCGCCCTACCCTATTCTAAATATAATATATTTCACATACAACTGTGGAAGCTAGACAGGCGATGACATAAAAACAAAAAGGCTAGTAAGGGGGCGTGAGGTTTTTTAGTCGGACGGGGGTTTGACAAAAAATCACGAGAAAGAGGAAGGGGTATAGTTTGATATCACGTGCATCCATTTTTTACCTGATTTTTTAAAAAAAATCTAAACATTTTCAAAAAAAAAAAAAAAAGAAATTTTACCATTTTTTCCCGTAACTAAAAATACACGTGTATGTTTGTTGGGGGAGGGGCGTAATTTTGAATTTTGAATTGAAGGGTCCAAAAATCCTTAAAAAATCTATCACGTGATTAATGAATGCCCGCTAAGCCGCGTAAAAAATTAAACGGTATGTGAGTTTTTGTATTAAATATAACACTTACCACTTTTGATCGACTTCGTTATATGTTTATCCTTGCTCAGGTTAACCATAACGTTCTTGGAGATCAGTGGATTTGTTGTCCCGGTACTTCCTCCTGTTAAATTAGTGGTTACAGTTCCTGCTGGCAAACTGCTTGGTGGATTCTGCGTACTTTTCCCACTGCTCGAAGATATAGATTTTCTGTTTGTGTTCTTCGAAGGCTGCGCATCCAACTTGGGAGCAGCACTAGTGGGCACAACCACGTTGGTTTTTGTGGACTGATTTGTCGGGTTTTGGATAATGGAGGTCTAAAAAAAAAAAAAAATTGTAATATCTTATATATAAAAATGGAGCTCTCGATCAAATTCGGTAAAACTCGAAAACGGCTAAACCGATTTGGCCAGTATACTATCTATTAATAGAGTCAATCAATTTCCAAGACAGACAGACAGATGATCAAACATAAAGCTCGCCTCTTCAGAGATAAGATTGGAAATTTTATAATAAAATTATACACCAAGTGATCTTTAAGAGAGTCTTCCAGATATAAAATTAATATATATATATATATATATATATATATATATATATATATATATATATATCGGCTAAACCGATTTGGCCAGTCTTAGTCTTGAACAATTCGTGCCAATCCAGAGATGGTCGGAAAGGTGAGATATTATTTCAAAATCGCGTACAAACTTTACATTTTTAATTTGAAAATTTTTGTAGAAGCGTAATTTAAATAAAACAATGGACGGTGGCTAATACGTCAAATGTCAAACTTTTGACAGATAATGTTCAATTACGTTTGATAGGATGTTTTACGTAAATATTATTTAATTATGATTAAATTGTAGTGAGTAGTTTTGTTCGTACAAAAATGTTAGTAAACGTTTTAACGTAAACAAATTGACGGCTTAAAATATATTTCAAAAATATAAAGCGTTGTAATACAGTTATGAAATTATAGTATGTTATTTCTTAATATGTGTGTACTGAATTATAAAAATATAAAATCAAATATGTTTCTAACAGAATAAACTAAAAAATTGCATTGCACACTTGCATACTCTATTTTTATTAGTTGCGAATCGACGGTTGGATATGATATGAGAAGCACTTTTGAAAAATGTTTTAAAAATATACAATATTATATTAGAGCTATGAAATTTCAGTATGTTATTATCTAATATATGTACTCGATTATAAAAATATAAAATCATGTATGTTTCTAACAAAAAAGCTATAAATGTGCAATTTTGTAAAAAATGCACTCTTGCAATAGTGGCAAGTCCACGGTTTGATGAGTATTTTGAAAAATATTTAAAAATATAAAACGTTATATTAGAGTTACAAAATTTTAGTATGTTATTTCTTAATGTGTGTACTAAATATAAAAATATAAAATCACACATGTTTCTTACTAAAACAGCTATAAATTTGTAATTCAGTAAAATTATGTAATAAAGCCGCACGTGTCACTACAAACTCAACAATATCAACTTTTTTGAAATGTTAATATAAAAATGCACTTTTTGGCGTTGTAGCACTCTTTTTTTGCAAATCATATTTTTTTCAAGTACAGTGCTCTGAAAGATCTCATTTGTATAATTATATACTCATTGGTATTTATAAAACATTTTCTAGGTTATATTAATTTTTATTTATGTTATTTTAATTCAGAACCTGAATTTGGTATCAATCAAAGAGACATTTTGTCGAATAACATTTTCCCAGTTACAATTTCCCAGAATTTATCGAAGAATAGATAGAAATATATGAAAGTCCGGGGTTAAAAAAGTCTACCAACGATGTGTCAAAAATTAGTAAAGTTAAGCATTGTTTAATAACAATATTTGAAAGTTGAGGAAAAAAGATGTATAACCAGCTATAACCTTGATTTGAAAACGGTAATTTTTGAAAATCCATAATAAAAGTATTTTCTTCCGTTGGTAGTTTTTAGCATTAGTTGAAAATGTAATTATTTTGTAAAATACCTTTAAAATTATAATAAGGCTTTAAACCTTTTTGCCACCTGCCCGTTTCAAGTTACCCCGCCTATAGGGTAAACAGATAACAAATTTTTGAAAAACATCAAAAAAGCACATTTCTACAATGACAAAGTAGCTGACAGTTTTACTGAACGTAGTCAGAAAATTGTTCGTTTAAAATGTGTTATTTGTTGTGATATAATTGTTTTGGTTTTCACAATATGGTTTATATTTGCTCAAAGTCAAAGCCCTGCTCTACATATATATTTTTTATTAAATTCACTTTAATTCATCGAGTGTTACTTGAAACTTTTTAAAAAGCAGGTCAAAGAAGAAATACTTAATACATTTTCTATCTCTCCTCGCAAAAATTTGAAAATTTTGTATAAGCTCAGTAGTATATTTACAATTATACACAAAATCCAGAATCCAAAATAAATCTGAAAATCTTAAAACGTAATCAATAAGTCGAAAGACTAAAAAAGACTTGGATTGGATTATACCATGATTTCTATAGAAAGTGGATAAAACTTCCAGTTGACAAAATATAGACAAACTAATGGGGTTTATTGTTTTTATAATCATTGCTCATTGTATATAGCATTCAAACAACACATCATTATACACTTGAAGTGTTAATATTTTTGATTCTCTAGAAATTGTTTAGAATATACCTTACTTAGCAAAACAACGTTTGCCGGGTCAGCAAGTATATATATATATATATATATATATATATATATATATATATATTTGTATATTTCCCTTACCGTTGCGTTTTGCGAGTCCATCTCCTTCTCCGGTGAGCTGTCGCTCGAGTTATGCTCCGTGGCCACAGGTTTATAAGGAGGTATAACCTTAATATTTCCAACTTTCTTCAGTTTGCTATAATGATGCTGACAATATCCGCAATATTTGACGTTATCCAAATAGTTTCCAGCCTCTTCGCACAGAAGACCCAGGGCCTGAGCGCAGGTTACATGGAATTGCATTCGACATCCCGATTTATTGCACTGCATACATGCACCGATACTCGCTCTGGTGCCTTTGCTCATGTCTTGACATATGTAACATGTCTGAAAGAAAAGATAATTGATATATGAATATACTAGTGCTGTGTATGGCATCGTGCCTCAAGGCAAATTTCTGGAACTTCCCGTACCGTAATTAAAAATTCGAGTAATGACATTAGTGAGAATTATCAGAATTATGCTAGGTTAAGGCAACGAGCAATTCTTACTGCAAAGAATAATGATGTACACGCACTAAATTTCACCATTCAATCAAAAATTGTTGGCGATTTGGTGACATACCAATGATTCCGACTGGTCTTCCGTTTGCCTTCAAACGATTGCAATTTCCAGTTCGCCTTGCGTTTGCAATAACAAGTCGCAATGCCAATCGCTTAGTGTTTGCGGGATAAATTTCAAATAGATTATTTAGAAAATCATTGGTTTTCACATGGGCAGTTATACGTTGCCTGCTCACGAGTTGGAAAACCATCCGCTTTGTTTGTGTTAACGACGTCAGACCAAAAAACAAAAAATGTGGTTTACCAATGAGCACTTCAATGAAACGGATAATTTGCGGATTCACTTTCATTTACTTAGAGAAGTTCAACTAAAAAACACTTCATTTTTGTATTTTTACAAACATTGTAGTAATTTTACAAACATTGTAGTATTTTTACACCCATTGTAGTATTTTTACAAACATTGTAGTAATTTTACACCCATTGTAGTATTTTTACAAACATTGTAGTATTTTTACAAACATTGTAGTAATTTCACACCCATTGTAGTATTGTTTACAAACATTGTAGTAATTTTACACCCATTGTAGTAATATTTACAAACATTGTAGTAATTTTACACCAATTGTAGTATTTTTACAAACATTGTAGTAATTTTACACCCATTGTAGTATTTTTACAAACATTGTAGTAATTTTACACCCATTGTAGTATTTTTACAAACATTGTAGTATTTTTACACCCATTGTAGTATTTTTACAAACATTGTAGTAACTTTACACCCATTGTAGTATTGTTTACACCCATTGTAGTATTTTTACACCCATTGTAGTATTTTTACAAACATTGTAGTAATTTTACACCCATTGTAGTATTTTTACACCCATTGTAGTATTTTTACAAACATTGTAATATTGTTTACACCCATTGTAGTATTTTTACACCCATTGTAGTATTTTTACAAACATTGTAGTATTTTTACACCCATTGTAGTATTTTTACAAACATTGTAGTAATTTTACACCTATTGTAGTATTTTTACAAACATTGTAGTAATTTTACACCCATTGTAGTATTTTTACAAACATTGTAGTATTGTTTACACCCATTGTAGTAATTTTACACCCATTGTAGTAATTTTACACCCATTGTAGTATTTTTACATCCATTGTAGTAATTTTACACCCATTGTAGCATTGTTTACAAACATTGTAGTAATTTCACACCCATTGTAGTATTGTTTACAAACATTGTAGTAATTTCACGCCCATTGTAGTATTGTTTACAAACATTGTAGTAATTTTACACCCATTGTAGTATTTTTACAAACATTGTAGTAATTTTACACCCATTGTAGTATTTTTACAAACATTGTAGTATTTTTACACCCATTGTAGTATTGTTTACAAACATTGTAGTAATTTTACACCCATTGTAGTAATATTTACAAACATTATAGTAATTTTACACCCATTGTAGTATTGTTTACAAACATTGTAGTAATTTTACACCCATTGTAGTATTTTTACACCCATTGTAGTATTGTTTACAAATATTGTAGTAATTTTACACCCATTGTAGTAATTTTACCCCCATTGTTTACAAACATTGTAGTAATTTTACACCCATTGTAGTATTTCTACACCCATTGTAGTATTGTTTACAAATATTGTAGTAATTTTACACCCATTGTAGTATTTTTACACCCATTGTAGTAATTTTACACCCATTGTTTACAAACATTGTAGTAATTTTACACCCATTGTAGTATTTTTACACCCATTGTAGTATTTTTACACCCATTGTAGTATTGTTTACAAACATTGTGGTATTTTTACACCCATTGTAGTAATTTTACACCCATTGTAGTAATTTTACACCCATTGTTTACAAACATTGTAGTAATTTTACACCCATTGTAGTAATTTTACACCCATTGTAGTAATTTTACACCCATTGTTTACAAACATTGTAGTAATTTTACACCCATTGTAGTAATTTTACACCCATTGTAGTATTTTTACACCCATTGTAGTATTGTTTACAAACATTGTAGTAATTTTACACCCATTGTAGTAATTTTACACCCATTGTAGTAATTTTACACCCATTGTTTACAAACATTGTAGTAATTTTACACCCATTGTAGTATTTTTACACCCATTGTAGTAATTTTACACCCATTGTTTACAAACATTGTAGTAATTTTACACCCATTGTAGTATTTTTACACCCATTGTAGTAATTTTACCCCCATTGTTTACAAACATTGTAGTAATTTTACACCCATTGTAGTATTTTTACACCCATTGTAGTATTTTTACAAACATTGTAGTATTTTTACAAACATTGTAGTAATTTTACACCCATTGTAGTAATTTTACACCCATTGTAGTATTGTTTACAAACAAACATTTATTGGTTACAAACATTTTCGTCCACATTTAAGCTCAAACTACCGAATCGATTTCAAAAAATCAAAAACTGTTCGAAAGATATTAGTTGGGAATGATATTGATTAGTTTTAGGGGAAAATTAACTGTTGAAAAAAAAATTTAAGCCGATTTGAATGGGACTTTTTTTTGCGAAATATATTATGGTCTTATAGTACTTACTAAAATATTACGGCCTTACCTTTAGTAGTTTAATTTTAAAAATTAAAAGTTTGAGAAAATGAGAAGTTTCTTGGACGTTTGTTAAAAATAAAATTAGATGATTTACTTGGTATAACGATAGATTACTTGGTCTCAATGAACATACTAAACCATTAACGTCCTACGAAAACAGGTTCAAATATAATTATTGATTAATTAAAATTATTGATTTTCGAAAATTTGCTCTTAGAAAATACTCCGACCGGGTTAACGTGTTCGTTCGTTTTCAATTATGTACAATAAATCCACTCGGAATACTTTTAATTACTCATAAATTAATTTATTTTTTATTGATTGAGTCGATTATTTACACATTTCGGGAAGTTCTTGTAACTTGTCTCAAGGCAAAATACCAATACCAACTAGTTTTTTTTATTATTTTCAAGGAACGGGGTAAAATCTTCTTCTTATTCGGGCATTTTATATTAAATCAAGATTTGTACTACGATGTAGCTTTAAAATGTTTATATATCTATGCCGATTTCCTTGTTGATATCGGTACGCATACAACGACAGATCTCTATTCACATACGCGACGAGTAATCACAATTGACCCGTATAGAAATGATATCATCGAGAGCGAATAACGAATCATTGGCACTCGACTCTGCTGTAACGCACTTCGGTTGCATTTGTACGGATTTACACCCTAGTCGCGCCTGAATAAGTTTTACTTCAAAAAGATAATTTATATATATATATATATATATATATATATATATATATATAAGTGTTAGTATAAATGTTATACGCTAATTTCTAGTGTTGTGTACACTTCTCTAGATGTAACCTACCAACGTTGATATCCACTGATGATGACATTGAATTGAATGTCGAAACGTTTGGAATTAAAGATGAATTTATAAATCTTTGCTTTTTATTCTTTGATGTATCGCCCCATAAGAACTTACTTATATATCTCAACAAACAAAATTAACAACTAAATCAAAAAATAGATATATAAATTTCTTTCACCATGTATCGTCTTTTACCTTATTGAATCTCTCCTGCGGTATCAGCTGCAGGATGATCGGCTCCATCGTCGTCACGTTTCCGAACCGGACTTCTGGAATGTAGAGGGCGCACACGACGTGCGCCCAACCAGCATTGTCGGTCCGTTTTAGGGCTCCGTCCCTCGAAGGGCACAGCTCGCAGCGGACCCTGGCAGCCCTCTCCTGGCTCTCGCATTTTCGACAGTACCAGGGACCAGTCGGCACGGTCACTATTCCGTAGCAGGCTAGGAGAAAAAAGATAATAAATGAACTGGGTGTAAGTGGCGGCGTGCCTTAAGGCAAATTGCTTGAACTTCCCGTACCAGAATTAAATATTTGAGAAAAAAAATTAATACTAGTGGTGTATGGCATCGTGCCTTAAGGTAATTTGCTTGAACTACCCGTACCAGAATTAAATATTTGAGAAAAAAAATTAATACTAGTGGTGTATGGCATAGTGCCTTAAGGCAAATTGCTTGAACTTCCCGTATCGTAATAAAATATTCGAGACATTTCAAACGTTTTCAAATATATTATTACAAATACTGTTGTAACTTTCATTATTTTTGCTATCTTTGCTATGTTATATCTGAGCAAATCAAATGTAAATCATAAATCATAAATCAATTTATCTCCAGAACATTAACAATCGTCATTTCATTTCGAATTCAATTTTAAAAAAATACCTAAGTTGCCTAATTACACAAAATTGAAAAATTGCTCCGGCATAGTCACAGTCTAAACACATTTGCAAATAATTCTGTGCGACATTTTCAATTATACTGTGCTTAGCTGGCGGCATTTTCAAATTTTTCAATAGTTTTCACAAAATTGGAAAAGTGCTCCAGTCATTTTCACATAGTTCACATAAACAGTCTAAACGCACTTGAGTAAATATTTGCACCAGAGTGACGCTTAGACTGTGCTTAGCCTGAGTAATTTTTTGAATTTTTAATCCAAAATTACAAAAATATTTTTTGAAAAAAAAATAGAAACAAAATTTTTTTTCCGAAAGCAATTATTTTGTTGAAACGAGCAGAAAGTTCTTTGACTCATTTAAATCGGACGCTTTATTCTCTCAAAAACTGCCATTTTTTAACATTTAGCTCTGTATCTCCCAAACCGCTGGGCCTACCTTTGCCAAAAACTAATAACCACCTTTCCCCGTCATTACGAACTGAATGTTTTTTGGATCATACGAATCGGATGATCCGGTTCTCTCAAAAACTCGATTTCTATTTTCTGCACTCTTTGCTCTATATCTCCGTAACGGCTGGACCTGCCTTTGCCAAAAACTAATCAGCACATCTCCCTATCAATAGGAATCGAATGTTTTTTAAACCATTCAAATCGGTTGATCCGTGCGCCCGAAAACGTGGACGAAAAAATGCGAACATACAAAACACACACACACACATATCCATTTTTTCTGAGGTGTGCCAGTAAAATGTTCAGAAACCTTCAAAACGTCGAGAAATGCAAAAATTTTCATTTTCGATTTTCGGCCCATTACTATAACTGCCCTACGGGAAGTTAAAAGTAAATATTAATTGATGATTAAAAATAATTGTTTTAAATATTTTCGAAGAGATAATTATAATTGCTATATATTTATTCGTTCATATAATATACAGTGACAATTTTATCGCTCAAAACGCTTGAGAATGTTTACATTAAGAAGAGATACCGAATGAATCCCTCTGAGGATATATTTCTTACGATTAGAATAACGCATTTGAAATATATACATTTTCAAACTGAATTGTAAATTTAAAATTTATATATGAAGTATACAACTTTGTATATTTTTGAAAATTTTGAAAAAAAATTCCGGAAATTTTGAAATTTGTTTGAACCGTATAGGTGAACTTTAAAAATTCAAATCTTGCTACGGAACCCAAAAAAATTGTAACAAAATTGATACACATTATTAAAATCTCTATAAAATATCTGATAATTTGATGTACACATGTCTAATGATCATTTCAGAGCGCCAAATGGCATTTTTTTACTTTTTTTCACTAGATCTCCGAAACCGCTTGACCTACCTTCCCAAAAATTGAATCAATTCTTCATTCCGTCAATAAAAGTAAAATGTTTTTTGAATCATTCAAATCGGATGTTCCGTTCTCTCAAAAATTGAATCACTATTTTTGGCACTTTTTGCCCCGTATTTCCGAAACGGCTGGTCCTGCCTTTGCCAAAAACTAATCAGCACATCTTCCCATCAAAAGGAATCGACCCGTACAAAGGAATTTTATATATAAGATATACTTATATATAAAAAACGAAGGAATTTTATATATAAGACTACTAATAAATTTTTAGGTCCTGATTCTTTTCTTTCAGATTAAATCATAATTATATATATATATATATATATATATATATATATATATACACGTACATGTTTAATTTGAGTTTAAAATTCGGGCGTAACATCAATAAAACTAGTATGGGAGTTTTTTTTTTAAATTTATTTATTTAAAATCCATACGTTTTGGCTAGCATCTTAGCCATCATTCAGTGGTAATCAAATTAACTATAAAAATTGTTAATGTTAATTGTTAAAAATGTTAAATAAAAATAATTTCATAAAAAGATATGCTAAGCAACAAGATGATGAAGAAAAACATTAAGGCTTTATGATGGAATAGACCTTGTAAATACATATTATAAGGTCTATGATAAGGTTTGCTGATTTAACCCATTTCTGGGCACAAAGCTTTCGAAAGGCATCTATGGGATTATAAGTATCAATACAATAAAAAATCAGGATTGAGACCTGCTTCAATACCCTACAAAGCGTTTCATCGTACAGTATGATAAACAAATATAAGGTCAACTATGCACAAAAGAAGACATAGAGAGTATTTGAAGGACCTCGTGATCTTTGGACGCCTCTATTCTTAACTAGTACTAAAACTTGATTGTAGATATACTTTTAATTAATTAAACAAGTTAATTCAATATGAACCTAGCTCTCAATGACACAGAGACATTGTTGACGATATGAGTGTAGTACTTACACTATATAACATTCTGGTACATATTTATATATTCTTGTACTATGACTCGTTTTTAGATCTATTTTATATATTCTGCAACTAAGACTTGATTGTAGATATATTTTTAATTAATTAAACAAGTTAATTCAATTTAGACCTAGCTCTCAATGACAAACATTTTTGTACGACAATATGAGTAAAGCACTATTTATGTTGCTTATTAAATACTTTTTTTATAATAATTGAATATCCTTTATGATCTTCATTGTGTTAATAAGCGCTGAGACAAGGTTTTTGAGCATATCTTTAATTAATTAAATAATTTAACTCTATCCAGACTTAGCTTTTAATGATATAGCTACATTCTTGTTTCAATCGGTGAGATTTTTGGATTTTTACAGTAAATAAAATTGCTTTGTGGTCTTCAGCTATTTTGTAACGCCTTAAACTTGGATCTAGATGTATATTTATTTATTTAAACGAGTTATTTCAATTTAGACCTAGCTCTCAATGACACAGAGACATTGTTGACGATATGAGTGTAGTACTTACACTATATAACATTCTGGTACATATTTACTTATTCTGGTACTAAGACTCGTTTTTAGATATAATTTTATATATTTGGTACTAAGATTTGATTGTAGATATATTTTTTATTAATTAAACAAGTTAATTCAATTTGGACCTAGCTCTCATTGACACAGAGACATTTTTGACACAGACACCTTTTGTGATCTTTGGACACCTATAATTTTACCCATTACAAACATTTATATTTGTTAACGGACAAAAGAAATAACATCAATGTTCATGACCACAATACACAAAACAATAATTTTGTCATATTTTCATAAATCAAGGTGAAATACTTTCACTGCAAAAATTATTTACCTAACAGTCTATGTATATTATTCTGTAAATAAATTTTTATGATTATATTTATGTGACACAAATTGAATTTTAATAAATTATATATATATATATATATATATATATATATATATATATATCCATTATCCCTTATTACCTTGATGTACGGCAACAGTACACCCTTGTCCATCGCAGTAAACTAGTGGATTCTCTGTCCACCCCCTCTCATCAGAACAAACACAGCACCCGCCTACCATCTCCTTCATGCTGTTCCACTTAGCGTTGGAAAAGACACCATTCCACTGTTATAGTGTTCCCTCTTGATTCGAAAAAAACTAAACACACACTGGGTGTAAACTTTGTATCGGGGAATTGACAAGATCAAGGAGATCAAGAGGATCCAGAGGATCAAGAGGATCGAGAGGATCGAAGACTGACAAGTCTTGTGTCACATGTTGTCGTGGATGGTTTAGCACATTGTGGGATTGGAGGTGATGTGGGGCATGTTGTTTGTGTACCAACAAGCAAGTTTGAGGTTATGTTTTGAAGTTTGTTTTTGTGGGTTTTTAGTTATATGTTGTGTTAGATTTTGTGTGGTTTGAAGTGGATTGTTGGTTTGTGGTTTAATAGTACATTTTGGGGTTATCCAAACACATTTGATGATGACATCAAAACAATTGCACAAACAACCACATCATTTCTTCAACGTCAACTTCTTGCAACTAAATACGCTATATAGATTAATTAAAACTATATACAACCAATATACAATTAAATTGTACAATTATCTTTCTAGTAAACAAAAACCAAAACATAAATATACGTTTGTGGTATCTAAACAAATCTTTTATTTATAATCGTTTAATTCCTATCCGACGACAACTGCTGTTTCGTTATTAATGAACGAATCTAAGATATCCATTTATTATCCTCGTTGGCTTGTCATATTTGTAAACAAAACGCAAATCAATACATAACACTGCCAAACGCACGAATGTTGAATTTCCCGGACGCCATTTTGTGATTTGTTCATTCGTTTGTTTTCTGTTTTGACGAGTGTTGCCTGATGAGAGTGTTTACGTGGTGAGGTAATTGAGAGGTTCGCGTCTAGGCTAAGTAGAGAACAAAACCTACTCAATAAACAATTTTTATGAGGTAAATTTTAATTTAATTTGTGTTTATTTTTATTATCATTACATCATAAATTATAAGTTAGAAATGACAATACTGAAAATCAAAGCAAAGAAAAAAAAACTAGCTGTAAGTGGAATTCTGTCTTGAGACAATTGAGGCAAATTGCTGGAACTTCCCGTACCGTAACGAAATGTTCAAAGAATACTGAATGTTTTCAAATAGATTATTATAAATATTGTAACATTGTCTAATATTTAGATTTATATAAACTGAATTGCAAAGTTCAAATTATGTCTTTAAAGTATATTAGAAATTTAGTCAAAATTAAAAATAAAATCTGAATTATTTTCGATATACAAAAAAACTAAAAAAAAAAAGAAAAATCAAATTTTTTTTTCCAAAATTAATTATTTTGTTAAAACAAGCTGAAAGTTCTTTGAATCATTTAAATTGGACGCTTAGTTCTTTTAAAAACCACCATTTTTTGCACACTTAGCTCTGTATCTTCGAAATGGCTGAGCCTGCCATTGCCAAAAACTAACAATCACTTCTCCCAACCATTACAAAGTGAATGTTCTTTAGATCATTCAAATCCGATACTCCGTCCTCTCAAAAACTCGATTTCTATTTTCTGCACTCTTTGCTCCGTATCTCCGAAACTGCTGGACCTGCCTTTTCCAAAAACTAATCAGCTCTTTTCCCTATCGATAGGAATCGAATGTTTTTTGAACCATTCAAATCGGTTGATCCGTGCGCCCGAAAACGTGACTGGAAATTTGTATCCACACACACACACACATATCCATTTTTTCTGAGGTATGCCCTTTAAAAATGTTCAGAAACCTTCAAAACGTCGAGAAATGCAAAAATTTTCAATTTCGATTTTCGGCCCATTACAATAACTTACCCTATTTGCCTTAAGGCAAGTTGTATAAGCTTTCCGATATTAATAAATAATCCATTTAATAATAAATTTGATTACATTTGTACATGATATACCTGTATACCTGAATAGGTGTTCTAGATAAACGAGTAACGTTATCTCAATTTTAATAGTGTCTGCAATTCATAGAGGCGCCACCAACTGTAGCACGTAAATCTACCACTAGGTTTGATTCTAGATAAATTTATTTAAATGTTATATATATTGTTTAATTTAATTTAAGTTGAATGTAAACCTAAATTAGATAAAATATTATTAATTATTTAAATGTAAAGTAATTTATTTCTGCAATAACATCTCTGTTTATTTTTAGTGTATTTAAATGAACTGAAAATATTGAAAATCTACAGATATAAATTACACAAGATATATAATCAAAATCATCATATGATTGTATAACATTTAGTTAATTTTATAAATAATACATACACCTTATTCAGTTTTCCATGCGTAAGATATATCTTGTATTAAAACATCCCATTTTTATTAAGCTTTTTATAAAAAATCCATTCCATTATTTTGTAAATATTCTGAAAATATTAGAATTTTTAAAAAGCCTCATTTAGTGTAGAATTTGCTAAAAATTCTTATGTTATTTTGAATAATTTGTAGAAATTCTGCAAAATATTAAAAAAATAACACTTAATTAGATTTAAATTACATAAAATTCTTGTAACTTCATATATATAGAAAATAACATTATATGATAGTAAAATTTTTTGTTAATTTTATAAATAATACATGTACCTGATATATTTTTCCATGCTAAAGATATTTTATATTAAAATAACATATTTTTATTCAACTTTTTTTATGAATAGTCCTCGCATATGTGATTTCTATGATATCATAGAAATATCTATTAGATTGCTTTGTATAAACACTTGTAAAATAAATAGAACTCTCGAAAAGCCTTTATTTAATCCAAAAAGGCTAAAAAATCTTATTTTTGTCTCAACCAATGATTTGTAGAAATTTTGCTTGATATTTCAAAGTCTCCAGCTCAAAATTCTTAAAACTGCTGATAGAAATTATACTTAAGTAATTTATAGTAAAAAACATATTATATAATAATAAAACATTTTGTTAATATTATAAATAATACATGTACCTGATATATTTTTAAATGTTAAAGATATCTTATTGTATTGAAATAACCACATTTTTATTCAACTTTTTTATGAATAGTCCTTAAATTATAAAAATATCCATCATAAATTGCTTTGTAAATACATACTAGTAGCATAAATAAAACTCTTGAAGAGCCTTAATTTAATCCAAAAAGGCTAAATAAATCTTTCTTTTGTTGTGAATAATTAACTTAAGTCTCAACCAATAATATGTAGAAATTTGTAGAAAGTCTCCAGCTCAAAATTCTTGAAACTGCTGATACAAATGTATATAAATGAATAAATAAAAAGAAATAAATAAATAAATTATACTTAAATAATTTACAGTAAACATCATATAATACTAAAACATTTTGCTAATATTATAAATAGTACAAGTACCTGATATATTTCTTAATGTTAAAGATATCTTCTATTGAAACTTGAATTTCTATTTTAAAGATATCTCATCTACAATTGAAATGTTTATGAATGGCTTTTCAATTGTTGAAAAACCTTGTAATTTGTTATGTAGAGATCATACTCTTTAAATTGCCTTCATTTAGTGTAAAATGTCTAAAAATCCTTCAAGTCCCTAATGATTTGTAAAAATTCTGCTAAAACTTTCAAATGATTTTTGTTTAGTTTCTTCCATTAGATTTAAATTACACTGCGAATACAAATGCAGATATACAGAAAATTACATCATATAAATTAATATTAAATATAAATTTATAAAAACTCATATCAAAAGTTCTATTTTTCAATACTAATGTGAATGCTATCCATAAAAACCCTTTTAGGGGATAATAATGTACTTTTTAGTGTAAAAATTCTTAAGTCTCTCACAAAAATATGTAAAACTTTTGCTAAAACGAATTTCTATTTTAAAGATATCTCATCTACAATTGAAATGTTTATGAATGGCTTTTCAATTGTTGAAAAATCTTGTAATTTGTTATGTAGAGATCATACTCTTTAAATTGCCTTCATTTAGTGTAAAATGTCTAAAAATCCTTCAAGTCCCTAATGATTTGTAAAAATTCTGCTAAAACTTTCAAATGATTTTTGTTTAGTTTCTTCCATTAGATTTAAATTACACTGCGAATACAAATGCAGATATACAGAAAATTACATCATATAAATTAATATTAAATATAAATTTATACAAACTCATATCAAAAGTTCTATTTTACAATACTAATGTGAATGCTATCCATAAAAACCCTTTTATGGGATAATAATGTACTTTTTAGTGTAAAAATTCTTAAGTCTCTCACAAAAATATGTAAAAATTTTGCTGAAACATTTTATTAAATTTATAATTACTCATACATTTCACCATGTGAAAGATATCAAGTTATCATCAAGAATTTTTAGCCAAATTTACACTAAATAAAAGCATATCAAGAGTTCTAATTTTCTATACATATTGATGGATTTATCAATTATGTGAATATATTACTTTAAATGTAAATACTACTGAAACTTTCTATGTTAAAGATATCTTAGGTTCTTTTGAAATGTTTATGAATAGCTTTGTTATTACTAAAAAAATCCAGTATTTTATTTTGTAGATATTATGCTAATTTTCAGTGTAAAACATCTAAAAACTTTGATTAATCTCATTCAATAATTTGTAGAGCTTCTGCTTAATCTTATGAATTTTTGCAGGCTCCATCACATGAAATTTGCACAAAATTCATATAAATGTAATACATTTTATCAATTTTATATAAAATACATGTACTTGATATAATGATCCATGATTAAAGATATCTTGTACTAAAACTTTCTATGTTAAAAATATCTTATCTTCTATTAAAATGTTTATGAATAGCTTTTGTTATTGTTAAAAAATCCTGTGTTTTATTTTGTAGACATCATGCCAATTTTTAGAGTAAAATGTCTAAAAACTTTAATTAATCTCATTCAATAATTTGTAGAGCTTCTGCTTAATCTTATGAATTTTTGCAGGCTCCATCACATGAAATTTGCACAAAATTCATATAAATGTAATACATTTTATCAATTTTATATAAAATACATGTACTTGATATAATGATCCATGATTAAAGATATCTTGTACTGAAACTTTTTATGTTAAAAATATCTCATCTTCTATTAAAATGTTTATGAATAGCTTTGTTATTACTAAAAAAATCCAGTATTTTATTTTGTAGATATTATGCTAATTTTCAGTGTAAAACATCTAAAAACTTTGATTAATCTCATTCAATAATTTGTAGAGCTTCTGCTTAATCTTATGAATTTTTGCAGGCTCCATCACATGAAATTTGCACAAAATTCATATAAATGTAATACATTTTATCAATTTTATATAAAATACATGTACTTGATATAATGATCCATGATTAAAGATATCTTGTACTAAAACTTTCTATGTTAAAAATATCTTATCTTCTATTAAAATGTTTATGAATAGCTTTTGTTATTGTTAAAAAATCCTGTGTTTTATTTTGTAGACATCATGCCAATTTTTAGAGTAAAATGTCTAAAAACTTTAATTAATCTCATTCAATAATTTGTAGAGCTTCTGCTTAATCTTATGAATTTTTGCAGGCTCCATCACATGAAATTTGCACAAAATTCATATAAATGTAATACATTTTATCAATTTTATATAAAATACAT